TATATATATAAAAGCCAAGCGATCAGAACGCCGGAACTACTGGAATGACCGGAATGACTGCTTGATATCACATGCACTGTGGCTGGCAAACTGGCCTGATGTGGGGTGGCCCCTCTCCCTGGCCAGCCTGGCCCCTGATCCAGTCCCCCACCCTGATCAGGGGCAGGGCTGGCCAGCTAACCACCCATGGCCTCGCCCTCAGGCTGCTCGCCCCCCATCGGCACCCCCACCACATTCAGGGATGGGGCCAGCCGGCCCACTGCACACAGCCCCTCCCCATGGCCGACCCAGCCCCCAATTGGCCCCCAACCTCAATTGAGGGTGGGGTCTGCCAGCCAATCACCCGTGGCCCCTTCCCCCAGTCACCGGCCCTGATCAGGCCCGATCAGGGTGGGCTGGCTGGCCAACCTCCACCATCTCCTACTCCTGATAGGCCCAGTCCAATCCAGCCTGACCCCACCTGTGCACAAATCTGTGCACTGGGCCTCTAGTTGACTTATAATATTGTATTCCTTTGAGGGGTATGACATCATGATTTGATATACGTATATAGTACATAATGATCACCACAAAAATTTTAGTTAACTTCTATCACCTCACATACTTACAATTTTGTCTTGTGATGAGAACTTTTAGGATCTACTCTCTTAGCAGCATTTAATATACAGTACAGTATTGTCAACTGTGGTCACCTGTCGCATATTACACTCCCAGAATGCATTTTATAATTGGAAGTTCATACCTTTGACCCCCCTTTCACTCATTTCCTCCACCTTCTACCCCCTGCTTCTGCAGCTACCAATCTGTTCTCTGTTTCTATGAGTTTGGTTTTTTATTTTTAAGATCTCAAATAAAAGTGAGATCCTACAGTGTTGTATTTCTCTGTCTGACACTGTAGCGTAAAGCCCTCCAGGGATATTCGAGGGGAGATCATTTCATTGCCTTCCTGGTAAGTTCCACCAAGGATGTCAGTTCCCAGCAAATGTCCCTTAGTGCTCAAATCCCACCACAAAGCAGTCCACTTGCCCCTGGAGTTCTGGGTTCAAACTGGACTCGGTATCTATGTCCATTTATTTTGAATCCAGAACTACTTCTCTTGTTTATCCTTGTGGGTTGGGTTCATTTCCTATTTAACCCCGACGAAGGGCCTGATTACAGCCTGTTCTTGGACAAAATGTCGTAAGTTAGGTAAGGACAGAGACGGCTCTCTGTTCCTTCTTCCTTCAAGAGAGGAAGCTGCCTCTGGCTGCCTCAAAGATGATTTACACTTCTAAGGAGCACAGAGGTGTATGTTACTTCTGGCACCTCTTCATTGAACAGCCATAATAAAACTCCACAATTCATCTTTAGCAGAAACATTTTCGCCAACACACTGGACTAAATAGCCAGCTCATTGCATGACATGTGCCTAGAGCACCTGCTGACCCTGCCCTTTGGAACTACTCTGCAATCCCTTGTCTCTGATGAGGGAAGGCCAGGATCTAACTGTCCACTGACACAAAATGGAAACTTACATAAAACCATGGCATTCCAAGATGGTTCTGATGCCCCAAATTCAGTCCTATTCTTCAGCATTTTGTTTGCAAAATATTGTATTTATACCACATTGTAGTTTAGAGGGATATAGTTAAAACTCTTAGCAAACGTAGAGGGCTGAACACATGCAATGTGGAAAAATGGTCATTATTAACGTGCATCTGTCCTTGCAACTCAGGGTAATCATTTCTTGGCATGGGAACTTGCAGGGAAGGGGGAAAGTGTTTCTGGCAGGCAGAATAGGATAGGTGGGGGCCAGGAAGAGAGTCAGAGCATGGACCATTAGCGGAACGGAAAGGATTTTGTGGGACTGGTGCTTAGAGAGGAGATAGAAGCCAAGTGAGGATGGGAAGATGGGCATGATCCAGGTTGTAAAGGGCTTTGCAATGCATATTAAGGGATTTGCACTTTATTCTAACAGCAGCAGCAGGAAACCATTAAAGGGTTTCAAGCAGATAAGCAACTCAGTCATATATTCATTTTAGAAAGGTCACACTGGCTGG